TCAGATCTTTGAGAAAATCACGACTTACCCAGATGAAAATTACTTGTTTTGAAGCTAATATACTGAAAACCCAGGTTCGAACACACAGAAAAACAGAGCCATTTTAGAGAGAGACAGAGAGAGATACCGTGAAGGAGGTGGAGTCAGGTTTGCTGAGAAGAGTGGCTTGAATGAAATTGCAGAGATCGAAGGCTCTTTGGTTCTGGAAAATGTAGAGGTTGTACTGATACTTGTGCTTGAAAACTGAAAAATGCTCAAGAAAATATTGAATCAAAAACAAAGAAAATAAAGTTGTTGAATTTGTTTAGTTTGTGACAAATGCAAAGCACTTACTGACGGAGTCTCCCACATGAACAGTTGGGTTTTTCCACTCTGAAACTCCATCAACTAGTATTGTGGTGGAGTGAGAATGCTGGAAGAGTAAAGAGAGCAAGCACACCAAGATGAGCATGGAGAACTTCATGGAGAGCTTCTCTTTTGAATAAGTATAAAGATGGTTTATTTAGATGAGACGCAGGTTTTCCAGTCCTTTGTACGCTTGCCCTTTATCTATCTCTGTGCCTAGTGACTTATATAAAACGGCTTCACTTATACTACGGTGTTTGGATTCAATAATATACTAGTAGTTATAAGTATATATTTGTATGATAATATATTATTGAATCGGGATAATATCGTGACAGTGAACTTGTTTTATGTAAGTTGCTTTATTTTTAGCTATTTTAATCATGCTATTTTGGAACAATAATTTGAGATCGCGTTTTCTAACTTTCTCACATGTCACTTTATCATTAATAAAAAATGTCATAATATTAGGGAGTAGATTCATTCTTTGAGCCATTGGAAAGATTTTTCATGTGCTGGCAACACGGCCTTGTATACCAAGTGTTATAATACAACTAATTAGATACTTGCAAAAAAGAATTTCTAATTATTTGTATTATAACACTTAGGTGTGATTCCGTATGGGATCCCAAACCGAAAATGGCATTCTGAATTCCAAACCAAAAATTTTTAGGATGGGAATTTGAAGACCAATCCCTAACTGAAATTTCAGTATTCCCAATTTTCGGGATTTGCAAAATGTTTTCAGTATTTTGGGATTGAATTTTCTGTTTTGGGCTTATGGGTTGAAATATTTTTGGGCTATGAGCTATAATTTGGGCCTTTGGCCTAAATTTATTTTATTTTTTTCCAATTTCATATCAATTGAAATTTAAGCTTTTACCTCATATCAATCTGAAATTTCATACCAATCAAAAGACCATTTCATTCGTAACAAGTCAAACAAATGTTCCAAAGTTCTAAACTACTTAAATTTTATACTTCTATCTGTAATATAATCTACTATCAAACTACTTAAATTCAACATTCAACATGCAACAACCAAAATAAATATATATATTTTTTAGTTCGGTTTGGGATTCCCAAACCATTGAATATGTAATCTTGATTTCTGTACCAAAAGGTTTGGGATCGGTTCGGTATGGATCCCAAAAATTTCAGTATTATCAATTCGAAATTTTTTTGGTATGAGATTGAGATTTTTTTAGTTTGGTTTAGGATTTTTAGAATAAATTTCTAACCCTAATAACACTTATATCAAGTTATATTTCTGACACACTTAAAAATTTCTCAGGCATAGACAAAGGAAGAGTGTTTTTAAAAATGTTGAAAGAGGAGTGTAAGTGTAAGCATGGAGACGGGTAAAATGTCGGTAGTGGTTTGCTTTTTCCATATGAAGAGTCTGAATGGATGACAGACATAAATATGGTCTCACAGTAAAAGGCTGAATCATTTTGTTGGCATAAAAAACCCTTTTAAAGAATAAATATTTAAAGAAAAAGAAAAAGAGAGGATTAAAAAAAAAAAAAGAGTGAGAAAGAGAAGGGATCTTTTGGGTGGCTCTGATGGTTAATGATGGAGATTATTATTCTAAAATGATTAGCTCCTTGATTATGAACCTGCAGTCTGTATTTTTTCAATCCAAATAAATTAATGTCTTGGGAGGTGGAGGACTGCAAATCACTTTCTTTTAGGATTTTTCTTTTAATTTCTTTTTTATTCAATCCATAAATAATGTAATTAGCTCATACTTTGATGCATAAAATAATTTTAAGGGAATAAAATCTTTAAAGCTCTTTCTTTTCTTTTAATATTTGATCCTTTTTGGTAAACATATTGCTTGCTGCCATGTTTTTCGATGTTGCAGAGACAAATGGAAAGCAACTTCTCCTTACCAGTTATAAGGAACTTTATAGATTTGTTGAGCTCAAAATTTTATCAAACACCCCCTATAGCCTTGATGAAATTTATATTTTGGTATCAGGAGAAACTACTTAGGTCTGTAGTGTTCTTGTTTGTTCTTCGACATTGCAATAAAGTGGTGTATTTGATAGCAGTTTATGTCTTAAAGAAAAATGTGTGTTTCAATGAGATACTTGGGAGCCAATTAGGCTCTTCAAATCATTATTGCTTCACCTGCTTTGATTTTTTACTTCCTTCCTTCGTAGGTACGAAGAAAGAGGTATTGTTGAAACCAAATTTGCGAAAATCATGATCTCACAGCATTCATCATCCATGCATGAAAAATGTTGGTCACATATAATGCAAGTGCAAGTGCATAGAAAGAAGGGAAGTGGCGTGGAGGCAGAGAGCAGAGAGCAGAGAGCAAACATGCCCGGCATCATATGCAGCAAAAGCAACCTTAAATTTGATTTGTATTTGTCGATGAGGTCTGTGGGCCCACTCCTACTTTATATACGCCGAAAACAGAAAGATAACAAAAGCACTTGGCAGGGAACTAAAAGACAAACACTAGAGTAAAAAGCACTTTGAATAAAAGAGAGAAATACATACAAGTTAAAAGATAAATTATTAGGACTCGTACTTGATTTACGATATTTTAATATTAAAAATGTGAAATGATCAAAAAATTTTAAAGACGAGAATGTTGACTTTGATTGACCGTCGTATCGTGATGCGTATGATTCATTCATTTGGCGTATTTTAAGAGTACTCGACGTTACAAATTCGTGGACACAAGCGGAATTAAAGGCATTTCTAAAGGTAATTAAATCTAAATAAAGTAATGTTGGAAGAAAAAAAATTCAATGGAAAGAAAAACAAAAAATAAATAAATAAAATAGAAAATTATACAATAGGTACTTTTCTACCGATTATACAAGAACCGCGTCGCTAGAAAGATAGTGAACGTACCTCTTAGTAATCGCTACCAAGCTAGTGACTATACATGTAATAGTCGCTATCATCTTACCGATCCTCCATTTTCAATTTTTTTTCTTTTTTATTTATTTATTTTTGTTATTTTTTTTATTTCTTTTACTATAACAATAAACTTTCATAATCATATTCTTCAAAATATATTTTTCCATGAAAAATCTATTGTAATTCATTTTAAACACTTGTAATCAACAATTTAAAACTTAAATTTAAAGATATTTGAATTTAATTATGATTACTCAAATAAAGTAAATAATTTGGAATAGGGAAAGACAGATACCACGGTACTGATTCTCTCCCAGATGTACTTAAATCATTATATCTATTTATTTTCACCTTCGCCTCACCGTGAAGTTTTGAAAATTAAGGTAAGACTTTCCATTGATATTCTTAAGGGTAGAACCTCATTTGATAATGTTTTGGGTCTCACTATTGTAATTTTCACTTATTTTTTTAGTTTTCGGCTTAAATATTCTACTAAATATAAATTTGTTGCTCAATAAATTGTAAAATTACTTCCAAATGTCTTATAAAGTTTTCTTTAATGCTTATGGAAAATATTTTGCAATAAATTGTAAAACCGCTTCCAAATTCATACATAAACTATTGTTCAAACTATTTATTTTCACTTTCACCTCACTGTGAAGTTTTGAAATTAATGCAAGACTTTCCATTGGTATTCTTGAGGGTGGAAGGCCTTTTTTGACAATGTTTTGGGCCTCACCACCATATTTTTCATTTATTCTTTTAGTTTTGTTAATGCTCACGGAAAATAATAAAAAGTTTGCATTTTTAACAAAAATTGTGGGTGTTAAAGAGGCTCGACATACGCAAAATGAGGCAGGTCTAATGCACAACGAGGTGGGCTCTGCTCACAAAAAATGGGGTGGGCTTCTGACACGCAAAACATGACTGCTCTATGCAAGAAAAACGAAGCGCACAGAACAAAACGAGAATCGCACAAATCAAGATGCCTTAAGAAGTATGAAACAAATTAAGTGTTTCAGTTCTACACACTTTCAACTGAGCCATCTTCAATGACATGATCGACTTAAAAAGATCTGAAAGGAAAAACATTTCCTCTGTTTAGATATACTCCAAGGTTTTGCTTACATCTTCCTATCCGCACACGATTTTGCGCACGCTAGATGCCTTTTGGTATGCAAGTTGAAACCGCCGTATCAATTGCATTAAGTACACCTTCCCTTCTTACCAAGGGGGGTGTCATTCTCCCTTTCGAACTAAGAGACCAATTTTTGTGATACACTATGATAGCAATGAATTATAATGCCAAAAATTTAGTGCTAATCCATGGGTTGACTAAGCATTTTCAACCGCTTATGGGTTCAAATATAATTTCTCGGGGAAAATTCTGGAGCAAATCAATGCATGACACTGCAAAATTTATTAGTCAGGATGCGTGTTCAAGAATTCAAGAGAATCTAGCAAGTGGAGGTGATTCACTTAAAAGGCAATCTTGATGTATGTAGAGATAACTCCTGTCTGTCTACGAATAGGAAGCCATAAAACGATGAACTAATGAACAAAGATATTTCCGCTAGGTTTCTCCTCAAAAACACGAACAAGGATATTAATGAACTTACATCGATGAAACACGAAATCAGTACTACCAATCAATTTCTAATTTTACTTCTATAATTTTGAATTACAACAGCAACAAGTTCATTAAAAAGGAAATATAGTCTCGCCGTAAACCGAAATACATGCATATAAATCGATATTCGCTAGCAAGAAACTATAATGCAAGGTCATCTTTATATAAACATAGCACTAAAGATCAATCTTCATACATTTCCGGAAAGGTGTCATAAGCCATCTAAACATAATAACCTAATTCTGGATCCCGATCCTCTACTTCACCCTCAAATCAATAATCGGGGGAAAAGAGGCTTTCATCACCTCTTAACTACATACTTAATAAGGCTCTCTACTTCTATCTCCCTCATTGACGCCATCTTTTCCTAATTAAGTAATGACCTTCGTTACTTGGGTTGCAATCTCTCTCAAAAAACAAACCACGAACCACGGTAGCTCTTAAAAATGATAATATCATCAGGTTGAATTATCCACTTTGGACAATCAGATTCCAAGTCGAATACTTCCATACTTTTTCCTCCTAGGTCTTGAAACGATTTTGGTTTCCACGTCACACCTCAAGCATATACATTCTTACCACTGCAATGAGCGAACTCTCCGGAGCACACGGAGTGGCCTTCGCTTCTCCACAACCGGAATGATGTTTTCCATTAGCTGCAACAAAAATACACAAGGTCAAATGGATAATAGCAAACAACTATTACAACCACCGTCCCTCATCTTCCAAAATCCTATTCCTCTGGATAAAATGTTCAACTAACCTCGCTCATGGGCCAAACTGAAATGAAAAATCATCAATTACCAAAAGTTTCAAAACAGGCAACTGTATTATTTTATACATGGAAGTCTATAGTAACTTGTTTTCTTGTCTAATTACATTACCACATGCAAATATAAATGGAAGGCTATACTTAGACTTCTAACGAAGGCCATTCTTTGTTATTATAACATATTGATTGTCTTGACTACAGCGAACCCAAAGCTTAAATTAAATAGAGGACCACAACCATATACTTTTGGGAGAGAAATGTTCCTTTTTGTAATCATATTTATCATTGTGAATCTTTCCTATTTTCTTCCCTCGTGGACGTAGGCAAAGACCCAACCATGCATATTATTTACATGTTGTTCTGTCAAGCATGAAAATCCATCCCCTCAAAGGTTGGAGATATGCTTGGCTAAGGCAAACTGCTAGGTAATAAGTACACTAAATATAATTCCAATTGATACGCTTATATCTAAGTTAACAAAGTCTATGCCAGTTATCAAATTATAAAATGAAACAAATTTGTAACAATTGGTGTATGCAAAAGTTCTGAGTTATATACATCAAAACAATTTTTTTTTTAATAATTTATTTATTTTAAAATAATTTATATGCATCAAAACAATGTTTAACCTTACACAATGCATTCATGCTATATCTGCCTGAATCATGTACTGCCTGCTAGATAGTGCCTTAAATTGTACTCTACATTCATAAGACTTTGCATTTGGATTATCATGATTCCAAATATCATTAATATTTTGTTTCTGTTTGTTTACTGGGAGGAGGGTGGATATTCTTGTAGAATTTAAAGAATTTAGACTGTATATTAAAAAAAATGTAACTAGGGGTCAAGTTTTTTATTTTGGGAATGACAGATGATTATATACAGACTATATTATAGCTCGGCAAGAAATTCAGAATATACAAAAGTCACAGATGTCGAGCGTTGAGAGGTCATATAAACTCCATTAATATTTCAAGATAAACCAACGCCTCTACCAGGGAGACATGAAAAAATTTCATATCTAAAATCTAAACATGCCACATCTATGGCTGCAAGGTATAATCAACAATAAGGGTCATTAGAGTAGACATCTAGTTTTCTTTACCTCTTCAGGCATAATTACAAAATAATGGAGATAATACTTATTTGGGTGCACTCGAGAAAAAGTTGTATAATTTTCCATGTAATTTTCTATAATATCTGCCTCATATTGTATTTTTCACTTCATCAAATTTGTTGTTTCTTATCCAAAAAGATCACCGTCTGCCAACGACCATGTTCCTAATAAAATACAATCCCTTGCAGAATCAATTCACTACATGCACCAGGAATGAAATGAATACCTGCTTAAGTCTTGCCTGAGTCCGCCCAGTCTGCAATTAAAAAATAAAATTGTTACAAAAGAAAATATGAAAAAAATGTTAAGGCAACCAAGGAGAGCAAGTAAAACATACACCTCTCAATTTGGTGGCATGTTTAGATATTAAGTTCCTTCTTTCAGAAGAAAAGCAGGTAAAATGAAGACAAAAAAGTGCAAGGTCTTAACATCAACTCGAAAACCAAAACACCAAAATTAGATAACTTTAAAAGGAAATGATTTAGCTCCTACGCACACTCATGAACCAAGCATCATGCACAAATACAAGAAATCCAAACCCATCCTCATTTTAAACCAATATGCAGACAAAAAAAAGCGGCAACTGAACCAACCAGCCAATTATTAAATGTTCAAATTGGCTTGTCTGATCTTTTACAAGCTCAAACTTATAAAACAAGCCAAAAATCTTGTTCGCAACTGGCTAATTAAGTTTCCAAGGAAGCTTGAACATGTTAAAAAACAGACAAGGTTGAATATCTGTCTCCTGGGTTAAGAAAATGTTTAAAATTTCATACGATATAATGGATTGAACTCATTTGCCCGACTTGAACTCATGTTGTAATGGATTGAACTCATTTGCCCGACTTGAACTCGTGTTGTAATGGATTGAACATGCTAAATGACGTAGTCAAGTACTTAAATCATTTATCTCTACACTTTGCAAACAAAACATTAAAGTATACACTTCAGTGGTTTCATATGCACGTATTCATATACACTACATGAATATCTACATATATTCATAAGATTTATATAAAAATATTCTAACTTATAATCCTTAGTGAAGCCTCTTATTCATGAAGCTTGGTCATGAAACATTACTTCAGATTAGGTTAACTATCAGGCTAACTAACTAATCAAGCCAAGCCCGACAGGTTTGTTCAATTGCAGCACTGCTGACAAATGATAATGAAGTCTTCAATGGGATGAAACAAAGCAAAGTAACTATATTTGCTTAAAGTATGACTACATACTGCTTTATACACAATAGAAGTGGAATTTCATCACAGCATACGAACACAGTAGTCAGACAAGTCAAATCAAATTGGTGACCGTTTGGAGTTGCATATTTGTAATTGACAAAACGTTTGCAACTTCAGAAAATGAGATATGTGACAGGAAAAGTCGTTTTGTTGGAAAATTTAACAAAGTAACAAACTGTGATAACTATACTGAATGCTGATTGCGACTCAAACACAGCTCACTTTGGCCCCAAACTCTAATGCTACCAAAGTACTAAACTTCTACTACCATTTCATAGTGGAAAAGCGCATTTCTCACTTTCGGCGGCCAACTACAGTCTAAAGCACATTAGATTCATAATTCGATTACCTGTTCTTTCAAAAGCTGCTCGTTTTCCTCCTCTAACCGGACTGCCAATGACTCCAATTCAACTTGATAAGCCTAAAATCCAAAAACCCCACAATCAGAAAAGTACAAATAAGCATGAAAGAACAAACAAAAGAAATATCACATACACCATTTCATCAAAAACCCAATTCCACACCTGCTTTCTCTCTCTGGACCTGGCTGCCGATTCCCGGTTCTTGATCATCCTTCTCTGTCTCTGCTGCGCCGCCTTATCCATCGGCTCCATAACGGCGCGCCCCCTCTTCCGTCTCCCCACTCCTCCTCCACTCCCAGCAGGGTCCGGCCCATTTCCAAACCCGACTATCGACCCTTCAACCTTATCAATCGACCCGAACGGGCTGAGCGGGATCTGATCGAAGGAAAACACTCCGCTGCTCAATCTCTCCGTCTCGGGCGGCGGCGGCGCAAGCGGAAAATCCTTAATGTCGTTCTCTTCCACGGCCCCGGCCCGAGCCAAAAAGTCCTCCAGAGTCATCATCTCATCGGGAACCTCCTCTTTACACTCCTTCCGACATTCGCCGGACACAATTTCCCGCCAAACTTCGTCAACGGTCTTCGGCGGCGGCGCAGTGGAGCTATTAATTTCTGCGGAGGAGTCAAGTAGGGTAATTTGGGCGTTGAAGAGGGTGGCGTCGGTCATAGGGGTGGGGTTGGAGTCGTAAAGGAGGCCGTCAACGGTCATGGAGCCGATTGGAAGGGCCGGCGTCGTACTAGTGTTGCTGTTCTGGTAGTTGTTAAGGGATTGGGGGTGCGCAGAGGAGGAAGACGGGTGTGCAGTGGTGGTGGTGGGCTTGGGCTTTGTAGCGGAGGCGAAATTGGAAGAAGGGCGTCGGGAGAGATCCGAGTTTCGTGATCTCGACGACAACGACGACATTACTTCGACGACACCATCTCTTCCGTCGCTGATTTCTCAGGCCCCTCGGACTCTGTCCGCTCTCTTTCTCTCTCTAGAATTGGAACTTTTAGGGTTCTGATCCGGTGTTTTGTTGGGATCAGGCCCCGGTGCGAAGCACGGTGAGAAGAAGCCTTTTCAACGAGCGAAGCGATGCAGTTTTTCACATCCCAGAACCTTTTTTGGTTCGGATATTTTGGTGGGACCAATTATCTAATACAAACCGAGTACCGAGATTATGATTGCATGGTTTCGTGGGTCCCAGTGGGACTGGCGGGTGTAGGGGATATGGGTCGCGTGGTAGATGAGTTTAGACGGATGCCTGGTGTATGGTTGTTGACCCGGCCGCTGTCAGGGATTCCTATCGTCACGGACGGCAGGGACGGCTGTGATGTAAGGTTGTGTGGTGTCGTGAGCAGATTGGTGAGTTGAATTGTACATATTCGTCCAGCGTGGCATGCGGACCGATCTGTGGGCTGGAGGAGAGAGGTTTAACTTCTATTCTCAGGCTGGGAGGGGTCAATGAAGCAAATTTGGCCCAGGCCCAATTATGAATTTTTTTTTCTTTGTATTTTAATAGCTCGTTTACTAATTCGTAATTAGAATTGAAGGAATTAAAGTAAAGAGGAATTAAATTGACAAGGTGTTGGAAGCTGGTGGAGTCCAAATCAGATTGGTGTTTACGACTATCAAATCTATTAACTTGATCGTCGAAGAGTTTTTTTACTGATACCATACTCTTGCCTAGACCTTTTTACGATATTTACTGTGTCATGCAGTTTGTGCATGAGTCGAACCATCGGCTTTGGCAACGCGCAGATTTTGGTTCAACAATTGGTATTTTTTTTTATTGAGAGAACTTTCGCTCTCCTGTTGAATGAGTATCTAACACCATGAATGCTGATGGAGGCTTGTATCCAACCCTGCAGCTAGAAACACTGCAAGCAATCCCGGGAATGCTTTTATCTTTGTCAATAAAAACAAAGGAAGAAAACATAAAAAAAGAAAGAGAAATTAATAGTTATAAACTTGTACGCAATAATTAAGCATATATATGGGGGACAAATGCCAAACGAAGTGCATGAGATATGCATGATCCCCTCCATCACATATTGTTCAGCTGTCCACGATAATTCATCGCTCTCTCTCTCTCTCTCTCTCTCTCTCTCTCTTATTTAGAGGTTGAGTACGTTATGAAATCTTTCTTGCATGCATGGACTTCTTCGTTAGGATATATCTTATCTCTGCATTATTAACCTGTAAACTGCTGTACCAGATGTCATCAAAATAATGACTCCACGTAATCCTCGTTTCATATTAAATTGCATTTTGTAAACCACATGATGTGGTGATAAATTAAGACTTCATGATTTAAATTTTTTTAAAAGAAGATCAATTATCAACTACCGCATCATGTAGTTTACAAAATATGGTTTGAAAATATCGTTTCTCTAGCATTACCCTATGTGTTTATGAGATGCATATCTTTTAAGTCACAAAAGCAATATTTGTTAGCGGTGTTCGATCTAACTTGTACCTTAATAGACAGATTTCAGGTTTGCATGCCGACCTACCTTGATGAAGCCTCAACTCCCCCATTCGATTGAATAACAACCTACTCGTATTATGTCAGCTCAATGATTTTTTCCCCTCCATGTTTGTTTTAATATCGGTTATGCCCCTCATACCACACTAGAAGTTCCTCCGGCCAAATTTTTTACACGTATATTTTTGGCATTTGATGTTTGGACAAATACTTTTGGCATCAGTAACTATCCATTTTCTAATATGCTCTTCTCTCCTGCAAGGGTTTCAATCATTTCAGGTGCTTAATGGTCAATGCTGTAATGCATGGTTTTTTTTTTTTTTGCTAGTTGAGATTAAGAGATAAACAAGCTGCACATGATATAAGGTCTTTATTGGTTTCAAATTAATGGATCAGGAATGCTATATCTCTCTCTAGGGTTTTTTGAGATTTCGAGAATTTGTAGAAATGTAAGTTTGCATGGAAAATATTTCTGTGGAAGCGATGGCTTTCATTCATTCCTTTCACGTATATATATTACAGACTTTACAGTCCTATGGAAATAATGAAACAACCATATATACTTACTTATCAATTTTTACATTTGAATTGGATGATAAGAAACGGAACTAAGTGATAGAATTCACTTTGACTTGGACTCTTGGTTAATAGATTTCAAGCATTTTTTTTTTTTTTTTGAGTTGAACGATAACGTTAGTAGGTTAGAAGTTAATTATTACAAGAAAGGAAAGTTAGTGGGGATCAAACCCGCATCAAGGTGCATAGGTCTGAGTGCTTTTCACCATTGTTGTAAGGCGCCATCTACAGACTTCAAGCAATTCTTGTTTCTACAGTGTAACGACAATTTGTCTTTTTTTTTCACAAAAAAAAAAAAATCTTTTTAAAATTGGTTAAACATAGTTGATGTTAAAGTACTTCCAAAAACATCGACCAAAGTATGCAAAAGGCTACCAAACAGGCTTTATTGTTTTCTTCCACGGTACGAGGCAAAGTATTAGTAATTGGAATATGAAACCAAATTTATTGTCGAGTAGTTAACGAACCATCTTACAATTAGTGGCTCTCATATACAGGAGTTTCTTGAGGACTATGATTTCTCAATAACTAATTAATTAGGTACATACATCTACGTACCATAAATTTCTATAACATAGGTCATTTACTAAATTGATCCTAAAGTCAGATAGAGATAATACTTCCATTAAAATAAAAACGGTCAAAAGATTAGTTTAAATAGTGCAATTTTTTTTCTTAAACAAAGGGAAACAACTGGTGGCAAGCCATTTTTTTTCTTCTGAAACTACTGAGCCACTTGTTGTGGTTAAATAGTGCAAATTTTTAGTTAAAAGAAAAAGATAAATGCCAAGACTCTCAAAGTGGGGCTGTGTCCTTTCTGGTACTTCACAGTTTAACTTTAAGTCTCGAAAAGTCCCACTTTTTAAAAAGTTTCCTTAACATTTCTCCTAGAAGAATTTATATACAAAATAAAAAAGCATTGATTACCGATGACGAAAATGTGACAATGATGGATTGCTAATGATTTGGGGATTTCGTAGTTTCATCCATGACTCAAAACATAAAAAGCATAGCAAGGCATCGACGATTGAGTTTAAAGTTTGGCGATAGCCCCATGCAAACATCAAAGAGGTACCTTTATTATTAGTTATGCACGTAAACCTTCTGACCTGAATTTGTTTATATATAGTTAACTAAAACTCTATATAGATATCTGAGAATATTCATCAATCTTAAAGGGTTCAATGGTAATTTTCATGCCCTAAATCGAGGGGTTGCGATGTTATGTGCTTGTAGGCTTCGATCAGCTGCCTCCCTGATACTCCTCTAGGTTAAGAAAGAGACGGTGTAAGACGGTGTAAGTAATCATATAAAGTTATATATATAGCTGTATGTAAGAAGAAAATATACATAAAGACAATAAAGAGGGGCCAAAGGAGGATTTTCAGATGCAAAAAAGGTCCTGAAGAGGGAAAGGCTCTTCAGCAAATGTGGCATTTGAAGCTTGCAAACAAATTGGAGAAGTTCTCTCTTCTCTCTCTCTCTCTCTCTCTCTCTCTCTCTCTCTCTCTCTCTCTCATATGAGATTACGGCGTGAACTACAATCCTTAAACAGACTTTTAGAGGCTTTATTAAAGCAAAGATATATGAACAAACTAACTAGCTAGAAAGTTGAATAGCTACCTCATTCATTGTTCTTTCTTTCAAGGTTCTTATATAGCGGGGTTATGAGTTCGACATCATTTATAGATCTCTCCTTTAAAATTTGGAAGCTACCTCATCCTCGTAGCCTACATAAGATCGACATCAACTTTGTTCTTCTAAATTAAAGATCGACCTAAAGATGTGGGCAAAACTTAGAGCTTCTTCAAATATTGCAAAGGGTATGTACATCTTCATCTCTTTTTTCCCTTTATATGTGTGTGTGTGTGTGTGTGTATTTTCTTTTTTGTGTTCTATGCCATATTACTCTAAGCTCTGGGTTAACAGATCTAAAAGAGAGAAGAACTCTATAGCATGTGGTTTGCCATGTTGCCTGTTGGATTTTTGGCATGTGAAGACTAACTGGTTACCAATTGTTTTGAGAATAATATGTACCTATCTTGTATCTATATATGTCGGGAAAGAAATAAGACATCAACTTGAAGTTTTAGCAGAAAGAGGAAAGTGATCTTTCTAGGGTTCTCTTGTTATTATCATACTCAATTATTGCTACACTTGTCATGATAAATCTCTTTTGAGAAATACACCGCATGATAGTTTGGTAGCACTTTCTATTTTTCGCAAGCATAAGGTGATCTTCATATATATGGATTACCAATTTTAGATTATTGTTTTCAGGGAAGAAGTGATAAGGCAAGTTCGTAAAAGCTTCAATCTAAACGAGGAGTACCTAAGTGCATTTAGAACCAAATCCTATGCAGACTTCTTCAACAAAGCTCAGTTGCTTGTAAACGAGCCATCATCGTCTCCATTGAATTACAATCCTGATCACAAACTGACAGAAGTCCTCCTAGAACCTGGTCAAGAAGCCATTCCAGATATCCTTGAATCGGCAATTCTTTCGAAGGTACCTAAGTTGAAAGGCCTTATGCTCAACTTCTTTGACTTAAGTGCTGAAGCCTCAAAAATATGCAGCCACCTCTTAAAAAGCATCAACCATGTCCAATCCAGTTACCACTTTGTTCAACAAGAACTTGATAAATTTGAAGACTACTCACCGGACAAAATCAAATCCATTATTTCGGAGCTAAACGTGCTCATACTTCAAAACAACATTAACCCTTTTCCAAACCCTAATAACCATGACTTTGAGCTCATTCATGAAAACTACTCGTCGGTTTTGCACCACCTAAAGTCGATGAGGAAAAAGGTGTCGCGGAAGATTAAGCTCATTAAATGTTTCAAAAAGGCGACTGGGATTTGCATAACAGCAGCTTGTAGTTTGATTGCTATAACCGCTGTTGTTTTAGTAGCACATACTCTCACTGCCTTGCTCATGGGGCCAGCTCTCATCAGCTTCCCATTCAAGAGCTTCAAGAAAAAACTGAGTAGCATTCCATTTTTGAGAAGTAGGATTCTTACCAAAGTTGGAGAACAACTTGATGTGGCAGCCAAAGGGACTTATGTTTTGAATATGGATTTCGACACGATGAGCCGACTTGTGGCAAGGCTTCATGATGAGGTTGAACACAACAAGGCGATGATCCGGTTCTGCTTGGAGAGGAGAGAGGATAAGTTTTCGTTGCAAGTTGTGAAGGAGCTTAAGAAAACTGATGTTGGATTCAGAAAGCAAGTGGAAGAGCTTCGAGAGCATTTGTATTTGTGTCTTGTAACAATCAATAGAGCTAGAGCTTTGGTGATCAAGGAGATGACAAAATCTTGTGTAGAAAATTGATTTAGAAGTTTAGGAGGGTAGCCATTTAAAAAGGCCTTGTACAGTATAATATTTCATATTCTCTAAAATATACGACTATACTCAATTTGTATGATGACCAAGAACCTATAAGATTTACAAGGAAAGAAAAATGTTTATTATGTTGTGTATTCATTCCTTTTTTTGTTCTCCTATAATTGGCGTTTAAAGAACAGATTTTAGTTACTTTTTTCATTCGAACCTTCTTGATGATTGAAATCATCTAATTTCTAGATCACCTGTTAATGATGAACTTTAAAAAAAATTAACCAAATTAGAAATCGTTTAATTGGTTGATTAACATTGTCAAAATTTGTGAGAATTTTGTAATCATATGCGCTATTCATACCTAATAGATTTTTGATCAGGCATGCTAGGCTCGACTTACAAATTTATATTTTATTTTTTGATATTTTTATTTGCCAAGGTACTTTTTCTATGCACAAAGTTGAAATAACAATCAAATAAAAAGTCTAAAATTGAATAGAAATTTGCAAGTACCGCCTATACAGCGTGAATAAAATCAATGCATCAAGGCATGCAGGGACGTTCTTCAGAGGAGTTGAGATGGCTTCATCCCCCAATGGGTTATTCAAACTCAATGTTGATGGAGCAATCTCTTTGAAAGGTTTAAATAGAGGTGCATGTTGAGGCTGTTATACGAGATGAAGATGGAGCGTTCATGCAGGTTTCACGAAACGGATTCATGGTTGTTTCGATTCTTCGACAACAGAATTGATGGCAGCAAAGGAAGGATTGGTATTTGCATGTGACGCTCGGTTTCATGCTATTATATTGAAACTTGATGCTAAAGGGGTTGTGGACTTGATTAATGCAACTGGTGTTTGTCTCGATAGGGATGACCGTATTTTAGAGGAGATTGACGATTTAAAGAGTAGGTTCAGTCTTTTTTATGTCGGTGGCAACGACACGAAGGTAACATGGTGGCTCATGATGCGAAGACAAAATGGTGGCCCATGAATTAGCGAAGTATGGACTAGCAGTGGAGGTTCTAATACATGAATGGAGGTGGAAGCACTTTGGTTATCTCCCTTCTTAGAAAGTGATTTGGAGAATGATAATTGATTGTAATTAGTAAGCGAGATGGTGAGGCGCTATTCTTCCTTCCTTCTTGGAGGTTTTTTTACAGAGCCCCTTCTTGCTCCCACAAGCTTTTTGTATTCTGTTTTATGCAGTAATGAAAAACTCGGTTTCTATATAATTTTATTTTTGTTAGAGATTTTTGTGATAATGGTTCACTTATATGTGTTGCAGGTGGTAAGATTTAAGTAAGACATTATATCGGTGTGATTACTAATGAATCACTAATTTATTCCTCTAAAAACGACATATTGATAGGACCTAATATGCATGACGCCTCTAACAAAAATAAAGAGTAGATGTCACTTAGACAAAACAATGTATGCCAACCCATTTCTATATGTTTCAATCAATGGTAAGGTTGTGAAATTGATCCAATGTAATGGTTACATTACCTAACATGTATAATCATTAAATACTATGATGAATGGGCATTGCAATGGTTGGTTAAGCAATATTCACTCTGTCACACCTTCTCGATCGGTTTTTTTCATGAATTTAATTTCTAGTATTATCTTTTGGTAGCATTTGTTTTGGCTCTCTCAAGTTACATTAAAGTTGAGTGTTCTCTTATTCTTGTTCGGTTCAAAATTAAAAGTTCTTTCAATTAGTGTTTTTATGCAGAGGAGAAATTAAAAGTGGACAAGTGGTTGACGAGTTCGATATCAAATTATTATGAGAAGTTCATTGTGTGGCATAATTCAATCTTCTATCATGTTAACTTAAGACCTCTCACTTAGAAGTAAAGAGAAATAATACGATACTGTAGTACCAGATGACTTTTAACCTATTCCTATTAGTCGATAACTTTTCTTCAAAAGAAAACTTTTAATCAATAAAGTTCTTACCTTTTGTAGATTTTTTTTTTTTTTAAATGAAGCACTTACCTTTCCTTTTAAAGGGAAAATGTCAAATAATGATTAAGAGGTATGTGATAAATATAGGGCGTTATAATTGGTATTTTAAAATTTAATGTGCATTTAAAAAAGGTATTTTCCTTTAAATATTGAAAATTTAAAGCGTAAAATTAGATTTTTGGAACAATTATCTAAATATGTAAAGGACTAATTATATTTTATACTCTTCAAGTTTAAGATAATTTATAAAATGGCTCACGAGGTTCTAACTTTCTCACATTACCCCTTAAGTTTTGAATCCATTAAAATTTTGGAAAGTTTTTATTCACGTAACTATTTGTACCTTCATACATGTTTGTTAATTTTTTGTCATTTATACTCTTTAATTCATTCGATTTATCGGTAAAAAATTAAAAAAAATATGACAGTAAAAATAAGCAGTGTTAAAAGCACTACTCAAAATATTTTGTCAATACTATACAAATACAGCTTATATGTTAGGTCATATAAAAATATCAACTCACCATGTCCTCAACGTGAAGAAGATCACAAGAGAAGCACCAAAAATTAATCAAGGACTCGAAAACCCATTTTTGCAATGGGAGGGAGGATAAAAATCATATAAGGGTAAAACTGAAAAATCACATTTCATTCACGTGCTAGATGGGAAGTAAAAATTAGATGGGCGTCTGAAGCACCAAAAATTTGACCAGTAGCCAGTTTGAAGTACAACACTGTCTCATATTATATGTCCAAGTTCCATTGAAATCCGGACAGAGAGAAGCTTCCTTAGTACCCCTTCCTTAACAACCCAGCCTCTCAATTCAAAGACTCCAAATTTTTCTTCAACTCCCTTGCCTGTATTCTAGCAATTTTTTATAGGACCTTTCAGTTGAAGCGCCATATTTTATTGCGCAATTAGAATCTCTTAGTACCCAAATAATTGCTTTCTGCTTTCATTGGATCCTATGCTTTCAGCTTAAATCCGTCGAAAAGGCACGTTTTCTTCAGTTTTGGTATTGCTTTTGAACTTCAAAGGCGGTTTAAACTTTCGCCCACCAAATGGTCTACGCTTTGACTGACTGGTAGTCGTGGTTGCTGTCTTTTGGTCCAAATACAGTTAGCAGTCGAGCTGTCGATGATCTGTGTGTGGAACAGCTAAGTTTGGTAATTTCGACTTTTGGGTTTTGTTCTTGAAGTGTTTTGAACTTGTGGGTTGTGTTTTTTTTTTTTTTTTTTTTTTTTGCTTGTTTCAGCGATTCTGTGTCTTGTATTTTGAGGTTCTGGATATTGGGAAGTGGTTTGTTAAGCGTTTGAGGTTTTTTGTTTTGGTGGGATTTTGTTTGTGTTTCTTCACATCCTTAAGTAGAATATTTGGATTGTGGGAATTGAATTGTAAGTTATTGCAGTTGGGTTTAGTTGGTGGCTTCAATTCACGGCTTTTTTCAGATTCATGTGTTAGTGAATTTAAGAATATGGATATGAGGAGCTGAGATTAAGGTTGTCTGAGTTGGGGTTTGGTCGGTTTTTGTCGCGCAACCCCGTGCATTAGGCGAAATGGGGAGCAATGGGGTTGACCATCCATTGAAACATTTGGAAGAGGAAGGTGTCAGCAGCCAAGGACAGAGTAAGTATTTTCTGCAAAGTTGTCGAAATTTATGATTGGAAATGGATAACAAGTATTCAATTTAACAATTGGTTGCAGGTTCTTTTCAGGGAGAGAGGAAGAAGAAGACAAATTCTGCACGGCCCTCTTCGGTTTTAGAGATTTTTCAAGAAAAAGAATTCAATGTTGGTTCTTCACCTCGGAGAGGTTAGTGCTCCCACGCAGTCTGAGTTATAGTTGCTTTTGTTGTTTGTTACGCATTGAGGGACTAAAAATGAAGCTTTTCCTTGAAGAGAGTTGACCAGGTTCTTTCTCTTTAGGATGAACTATTCGAATTTAATTGTTTCTTGACAACCTACTATTTAACCGAGAAACTCAATGAACCAAAATTTGTTACGCATTATTGTCTATACAATGCAGAAAGGAGTTTCGTGGTTTAGCTTAAAATTCAAGTGTAGGATTTCTGTATGCTGCCGGGATTTTAGTTGTGCTCTTAGTTTAGCAATCAGCCATTACTTAGTGAAGTTCTTAGGTGTAAATATGTCTTGGAATTTGGAATTTAGATGACCATACTGAAGTTCTAGAGCGATGCTGAAAAGAAATGAAAAAAAAGTGATTTACGAAGTAGAATGGTTCTTAAAATATATGTTATCGAAATTGTGAAAATACCTATGATTATGTCACACTATTGTTGTTCTTGCGGCCAATCCTTTTACTAAACTTTTCAGTGAATCATAGGATGATGCGATCATGATCCAAACTAATAATCTAATTAGTACAATGATGTGATCATGCTGACCCCAGATGTTACTGCACTTTAACGGCATACTGGGATCCTATGTATTTCTGTTTCTTTTGTTTTAGTGTTTATCTATTTGCTCACTGATATGTACACGTATGTTCATGAAGGTTTGGACCATTCAATCACAGCACCTATTGGCACTCCCAAAGGTTTGCTGATTGAGGAGCATGAGATTAGATTCTCTAGATCCATGACGGAGAAGAAGGGAAGGCATGACTTAAAGCTGGATAGACTGTCAGAGCGTGAAAAGGTAGATACTATCATATTCGTGGTTGCTTGTTCTCATACCCGTGTTTGCTTACAACTTTTAATTTGTCCATCTATCAGAACTAGAAACATGTTTGTTGGACTGGTTTCTTTCATGAAGCTGCAACTTCATGCTGAATAGATGGATGCCAAATGTTGTCCACTAATTTTATTTGAAAAGCATGAGTGTATGACAGTCCCTGTCTTACAGTATCTTATATTTTTTTCAGTACCTGATGACCGTGACATAAATTGAGTTATAATTAACGGCTCTAACCACTGAGCTTGCTAGTTATCCTCCACCCCACTCCCCCTCCCCACAATTCTTTATTAACAAAATTTGGAATGCAGATGGTTTTATTTACTCTTATTCATTCTCCATTTAGTTGATCATTGTTTCTCTGGTTTTGATTTTCAGAAAAAACTAATTGTTGAGATGGTCAAGATACAAAATGATGGAACAGTAGAAGTTGATTTAGAAAAAAGTGCACCTGTTGCCTCTGAGTTGTTAGAGCTCCACTCTGTCGAAGATGTGCCCATCAATCTTGATGAGATACCTTCCAATACCATCAAGTCAATTCCAAGGTTGAAAATTTGCATACTTGTGGTTGGAACAAGAGGAGATGTACAGCCTTTCCTGGCCATGGCAAAGAGATTTCAGGCATGTCCAACATAACAAGATGACTTTGTTTTGAATAATTTACCGTTGTTGGGCACTAATTGTTATAACTCTTACCTGTAGAGGTAGGCCATGCTATGATGCTAGGCTAGGCATATTAAATTTTAAAGATCATTGACATATTCCTGTATCCCTTGTTTGAAAAATGATGTACCTTATTGTCTATATATTTCCTGCATGCTTTAATGGTTGTAGATGGTTTGATCTTTTCTTGCAGGAGTTTGGCCATCATGTTAGGTTGGCAACTCATGCTAACTTCAGTTCTTTTGTGAAGTCGGCTGGTGTAGACTTTTATCCGTTGGGTGGCGATCCTCGTGTTTTGGCAGGATGTAAGAGGTCCTATATTGGAAGTACTTTTTTTTTAATGATATATAGCAATTTATTTCATTTTTGTTAGCGATCTTGTTGGTAGATCACTTCCTATGTCTGTCTATTTTGTCAAATATGGTGTGAGTTTATATGTGGTTCATATAGGCGACCCCACTTAGTGGGATAAGGCTTTGTTGTTGTTGTTGTTGCATGCTCTCTCTGCTGTTTACTTTCTCTTTCTTGCAGCTGAACCTAATCTGAACAACTTGGGAACTTCTCTCTCTCTCTCTCTCTCTCTCTCTCTCTCTCTCTCTCTCACTCTCACGCACGTGTGCGCGCACACAACTCACTCTTCCTCTCTGCATAATTTTCTTATGAAAGCTGAATTGTAATTGTGAAAGCTGAGTTATTAGATTATTGACCACCTTAAAAATTTAAAATTACTACTATTCTTTACTCTTTAGCCAAAATTCAAGATTTTCCAATGCTTGGAGCTCTTATTTACGTCACTAGTTACTCTAAATATGTTTAATGTTCCCAAATTGTCCCCTCAAGTGCTTTATTGAATAACTGAAATTTAGTGCCTTTTAATTTTAGATATGGCCAGAAATAAAGGTCTCATTCCATCCGGGCCAGCGGAAATATCAATACAAAGAAAGCAACTGAAGGCAATTATTGAATCTCTTCTTCCAGCATGCACAGAACCAGACATAGAAACTGGTGTACCATTTAAGGCACAGGCAATTATTGCAAACCCTCCTGCTTATGGTGAGTTATCACAAGTGAAATATTTAATGTCACTTCAATTGAATTATGTTTCTGGTAAGTCCGTATGTATTACATTTGACATAAGAGTTTATGATGAAGTATTATTGCCAATTAAGTTAGAAAGTGGCGTTGTTAGCTTATGAGTTGGCCCTGTTTGTTTTCTCTGAATGTTATGTCCTATGTGTATATGTAACACTTCATTTCAGACTTCTTGCGTCTTACATCATCTTTTGTTATTGGAGCTTGCTGGTTCAATCAAGATTAATTAGACCTTTATATAGACCGTCCCTTGTAGTGATGATAGGGTCCCATTGGGCACGAAATTAGAATATTGATCTTGGACTGATGACTATAGTGGTCGGAACTCGGAAGCCATGCGCTGAAATATTTAGTTAGCAAAAGGTTTAGACCCTTATTTATTGGACCTTTGTAGTAATTAGATCTGTCTCTATGGTTCTAGATCTGTCACTATGGTTCTAGATCTGTCTCTATGGTTGTGTGAAAATATAAAGTGTGAGTAATAAACTTATTCTACATCTTTTCTTCTTCTATTAAGTAAAAAGATATAGTTCAATCGTAAGCAACTTCTTTTATCATGTGGTTTGGTTTGCAGGACATGCTCATGTTGCAGAAGCTCTTGGAGTACCCCTTCATATTTTCTTCACAATGCCATGGACGTAAGTTTTGACCACTTATTTTCTTGCGTTATTTTGATAGAGTAATTGTCCTCTTGGCAGACGCTATGACTTGTTAAGTTAGACATTCAATATGGACCACTCATTCAAACAGGAATCCACTTGAAGAGTTTTTCAAATTGACAGTCTGGAAACATGCTAGAGTTTCTAAAATGTTTCCCAGTATACATAATAATATTATACAGTTCAATTCTAGTACGATTCTAAGGAGGCAACTCAGGCTGTGATCCTACTAGTTAGGTGCTGTATTAAAACACTTTTAAAGATGGGATTAGAAAGCTCCGATTTGGAGTCTTTTAGTCTTCACCAATAAGAGATATTTAGGATTATGGATTACCTTCTTAAGTTTCTTCATTAGATCGATCTTAGCTAGTGTCAAGCGTATGCAAGTATAATTAATTTATATATACCATTTGGAAGTAGAAAAGGTAGGAAAACTTTCTTGGTCACATGGATTACATTGGTGTTTCAAGTTGACATGAATAAAATTACAAAATGAAATCTATTTAAGGAAGCTTAAAGGAAACGTTATGTTCTTATTTTTGTTTTCTAGTTGTATGTTATGTCTTGAATACTGGTTTATTTTGCGGGGAACTCTCTTCTGTGTTATGCCATCTTACTTATCTTTCTATAGACAGGCCTACTTATGAATTTCCTCACCCGCTGGCTCGTGTACCTCAAAGTGCTGGTTATTGGGTATGCTCTTTTTTTGGTATTTACTTCTATTTATTTTATTGTCATATGGTTGGACCACTGGATTAATTGATGGCAAATCTAATTCCATTTCTCTTTGCCACATCCAGCTTTCATACATTGTTGTGGATTTGTTGATATGGTGGGGCATTCGGGGATATATTAATGACTTCAGAAAAAAGAAGTTGAAGCTTCCTCCTATTGCATACTTCAGCACATACCACGGATCAATATCTCATTTGCCTACAGGCTATATGTGGAGTCCTCATGTTGTGCCAAAGCCAAGTGGTAAGTAATTCGATATTTATTATACTCTTCTGCCAGTCACAGTGGTATATTTGTTGGAAGGTTTTGACGTGGTATGATATATGCAGATTGGGGATCTCTTGTGGATGTTGTTGGTTATTGTTTCTTAAACCTTGGGTCGAAATATCAACCTCAAGATGAGTTCGTTGAATGGATTCAGAAAGGGCCTAAACCTATATATATCGGCTTTGGAAGCATGGTATATATTTTCTTCTATTAGTTTCTTTTCTTGTCATTTTTCTCTTCAAATCGTATGACAATTAGCAAAACAGGTTCCTTCAAATATCTATTCAACTAGATGAGTAACCCTGTGTTTCCTCTAAATCAATTATTATATTCTCTTTTTGTGGCCTTACTAATGTGTACTCTATCTTCTGAGTTGGTGTAAAATCTAGTATTTGCGAATAACCAAGGCCAGAAATTGGTAGTCTTTTACGTTGTTAAAGTCTTACATTGATAGAGAATAACCTATTATTAACTTATATAATGTATTTAGTGTTACAAATATTTCACGTTTCAATTTCTGTATAAGGCTAGGAGAGTTCCGGGATTCAGTTATCAGCTGCTGCATTCCTTGTGTTCTTTTTGTTTTTAAAAAGTAAAAAAGGCTTGTAATTTAGACTTATAGATAGCATGCTGATAGAATTAGACAGCCACTAGCCCCCATAGATTAAGCCATAAGGAAGTAGGCTAATAATGTATTTCAAGCTTAGTCGAGTCTGGAAGGATTGGTGGGACTATCTTCAATACTGTGGTTTGAACATTAGGAAAGTTCATATAACTTTTGTGCAGATTAGCATTGTTCCTTGAAAATTGATGATTATCTCGTGTAGTAATATATGCATCTTCTCCTAGAGAAGTTTAGAGGGCTCTTTGAGTACCTTGATAATAATATCAATCGCTTACATTGCTTGATACGCGTAATTGTGGCTGGTTACTTATTTCTCAAGTTGTTTTAATACTTTGATTTTTGTCTTTATTTCTGTCATAATTCACATTTGTGGCTGATAAAAAATTCATGTTTTCGTCATGTTTTGAAAATATTAGAACCTAAAATTTTGCCTGTTTCTTGTTAAGCCACTCGATGATCCCAAGAAAACTACTGATATTATATTGGAGGCATTGAAAGATACAGGACAGAGAGGAATAATTGATAGAGGTTGGGGGGACCTGGGTAATGGTAAGTGTCTATTCTTTCTAAAATTAAGTTTCATGCTTTAATATGTTCTTGGAAATTCCAGTCTGGTTTAACTTCTTTTTCAAGTATTACTGTGTTTTGGTTTGTCAATTCATGTTTCTGATGGCATAGCACCATCTATTGATTCTCTCTCTCTCTCTCTCTCTCTCTCTCTCTCTCTCCCTCGTTAACTTTGTCCTTTATGTGTTTTGAACTTCAGTTGACTACCATTACATGTTTCATTATAAGGGTATTTAAACCAAAAAGTGGGAACAAGAAAATCTGTTCTGGTCGCTTGCTTTAAATTAATGAAAGCGTATCTGATATCTTTTCTTCTAATTTGGTTTGCATGTCGTGTTTCAGTTACAGAAGCATCTGAAAATGTTTTCCTCTTGGAGGACTGCCCTCACGATTGGCTATTTCCTCAATGTTCAGCAGTGGTAATGTTGTATTTTATGGTTTCACCTTTTTGTTCCTTTTTAACTAATTACTACTCATGTAACCCGTACAACGATATCAATTGCAGATATTGATTTTTACTGCATGTTTTTGAAAGCTGTACTATCACAAATATGCAGGTTCATCATGGTGGTGCTGGGACCACAGCTACGGGATTGAGAGCTGGGGTAATGTTCTTTTCAGTCAGTGTGGTCGTTTTAAAATCATTTATTTCTGGGAGAATGGATGCATTATCTTTTACCAATGTTTTGGTTTTTTTTTTTTTTTTTTGCTGGATATTATCTAATTGCACTATTTTACGATATACAGTGTCCAACAACCATAGTGCCATTCTTCGGCGATCAGTTCTTCTGGGGTGATAGGATACATGAGAAAGGCTTGGGGCCAGCACCAATACCTATTTCTCAGCTCAGTGTTGAGAGCCTGTCAAATGCTATTAGAGTTATGCTGGAGGCAGAGGTATTACTGCTTTGTATTCATGCCTTATTTAATTAACAAAATATATCTCGTTTTGAAAATTATTTGCTTGTTGTCTGAATGAAGAAATTGGTGGGCGTGGTGCCTTGTAGAAATCATTCTACGAATTTGTTTGAAGTTGCGACAACTTAAGGATTGCTCTTCATCCTTAGTATCTCTTCCTTCTTAGTTCTTATTGAATCAAATACACTAACAACTGCCATGTACAAGTATTAGAATGTTCGCAAAAGAAAAAATAGTTACAATATTTCAATTATTTATTAAAACGAACACAAGCAAGTAGAGATTCTGATACTAAACAAATATTTCAAATCCTTCAATTGTTCATCAACGCTATTCCTCATTGCTCAGTGGGAAGTACATTTAAAAATGAAATCAAATATGATATGATTAAAGTTTCATGTTTTTATGTTTTGGTAAACGATTGCAATATTTTGTTCTGATCCTTCACATCAATTTTCATTTTTATTCAATTTCCCTATAAATGGTTAAGCTTTCATCTTTATACTACCAGCCATGTGGTTACTGTGAAAGTAGTGCAGCAACATAGCACATCATGCATTCGTTCTAACCAGGAATTGAACCATCTTAGGTTAAATCTCGCGTGCTAGAAATAGCAAAGTTGATAGAGAATGAAGACGGTGTTGCAGCTGCAGTTAATGCATTTCACCGGCAGTTACCTCCTGAGTTACCATTGCAACCTGCATCTTCAGAGGAAGATGAGCCTCCAAACCCTATGGTGTGGTTATTTCTTCAACTAGAGAAGTGGTGCTGCCTGCCGTGTGGTGTGTAGGATTCTTGCTGTGTCTTGTGCTGTTGTACAGATACGTTTTTCTTTTTAATTTTTTTTTTATATTCTCATATAATTTAATTTAGCGCTTCATTCATTTCATTCATGGTTTCCCTGTGTGGGTTTGATTGATAAATTGTTTACAAGCTAATGTAGGGTTTTCACAGCTTGTGTTAGAGTATTACAATAAGTCAAATTTCGTTTCAGTTAGTAAAACTGACGAAGCGAGAGTATAACCATGCTGAACCAACTCAATTATTTTTATCAATTTTTCTATAATTTGCTTCAGTTTGTGTTGTATCAATGTTCATTGACCTGAGAAATATAGTTGTTTTGTCCTTTTGATGCTGTACCCAATCTTGGTTTGCAAGCACTCTCTTATGGGATATGGCCGAGTTTCGGCTTACTGTGTTATTAGGGGACATTTATTTTCACATCTCAGGCAATTACCAGATTCCTCAAGCTGGCATGCCAATTGTTACCTTGTGTGTGTGTGTGTGTGTGTGTGTGTGTTTGTATGTGCTTCCGTGCGGTTCTGGGGACCTTTCTTGATTCTATTTCTGGAGCTTTTTAAATTTTCGATAGTAAAACCTGTTTACGGATTTGAAGAATCCTGTACGAGATTAGAAAATGTGATTGATGGTACAAAGAGATACAATCTGGAATTTGCTTGTTTTGAACTCTGCTTTGATTTAGGGGTGGGTATAAAAATCGTCGAACTGTGATAAAAAAAAAAACAAAATCGTAAAGAACTGTGTTGACAAAAAAAGTCAAAACCGGGACAAAAATTGAACCGGACCATCTCAAAACCGGTTCCAGCCTGGGAATACTAAGAATGGGTGGAAACGGATTGAACCGCTTTAATATAAATAATAATTTTGCTATTATTTTTTATACTTATTGATTGATTAGGGCCTAATCTTAAGTATGTAGTGGGTGGTGGGCCAGTATAAGAGATACTATATCACATTTAGAGAGAACTTCGTTTGGCTGTTGCGTTGTAAGTTGTAATTAGCAATTCTTGTTGGTTTTAAGGGATCAGAGGACACAGATTCGCCAGTGAGTAATTGGAATTTGATCAAGTTGTGCTATCATATTAAAACAAAAACATTATTATTAATGTGGTAACTTAGACGACTTTTTAAATTTTGTTGTCTATTTAATCTAATACTTAGTTACACTTAACTAGATAATTTGCTTGAATTTGTAGTTGAATTGTGTTTGGTATTGGAAGTAGAAGATTATATATATTTGTTGGTAAATTATAAAAAACTACCTTAACTCAACCACAGTTTTATACCCCATCTTTAAAACATTTCAATGTCATACCTTATTTTTGAATTTGTTGCAATGTCATACCTTCCGTCAGTTTGTCTGTCAATTCTTTTATTAAATGCTGACGTGGCTTGAGGCGAGACCCACTTTTTATTAAAAAAATAATTAAATATTAAAAAAATTAAAATACAATTATTTAAATATTTTGATAAATATAATGTGGGATCCACCCACCTTCTTCCTATCCCACCCATCTCCCCCCACCCTTCCTCCCTTCACTCCAAAACCAGAACCCCCTTCTTACCCACCCCCAACCTTCCTTCACCACCAAAACTAGAGCCCCCATCACCCACCCCCTTCTCCCAAAAATCCCCTTTCCCCAAAGATCCCCTTCTTCTTCATCTTCTTCTTCTAAGCAACCTGACCCAAAAATCCCCCATCATCCCTTCCCCCATCCCCATCACTCGCCTACTCCTTTATCTCCAAATATGGGGATGGAGATCGAGAGCCTGAGACAGAGCGGACTTGAGAAACGAGAGCTCCTCCTCGATCATGTGTTGACGTCGAAAATAAAGACCGGAGGTGAGATGGGTTTTTTTGATGGACGAGTCGTGCTCGGTGGTGATGTATTGGGGGAAGAGCTCGGCGGGGAGGTTCTCGTCTGAGATGGAGGCGTAGTGGGGAGGGAAGTGGTTGTGGGTGAAGCAGAAAGAGCAAATCCAGATCTTGGTGGCGTAATCGACGGTGGAGAAGGGTTTGAGGACGGAGCGGCAGGTGCGGCAGCGGAGGGGGGGCGCGTAGGGGAGGACGGGCATGGAGGGGAATGGCTTGATCAGAGTGTAGATGGTTGGGTGGCTGGGTGGAGAAGACGATCGAGTGGGGAGGATGAGGGTGAGGGAGAGTCGCGGTGGGGTTTTGGTTTTGGAGTGAAGGGAGGAAGGGTGGGGGGAGACTGGTGGGATAGGAAGAAGGTGGGTGGGTCCCACAATTTTTTTTAATAAAAATATTTAAATAATTGTATTTAAATTTTTTAATAGAAAGTGGGCCACACCTCAAGCCGCATTAACATTTAACAGAGGAATTGATAGATAAACTGATAGAAGGTATGACATTGCAACAAATTCGAAGATAAGGTATGACATTAAAATGTTTTAAAGATGGGGTATGAAACTGTGGTTGACCCAATAGTTGAGGTAGATTTTTATAATTTACCCTATATTTGTTAGAATCGTAAACCGGCATGAATCGAACTGGAAAGGGCGTAAACCAAAGCGTATGGTTTTAGTAATAAATTTAAGCGAAACCGTACTGAATCGGTTCTGGTTTGAAAGTGAAAACAGACCGAACCGAACCGTGACCACCCCTTTGATCTGACATAGTTCATTTACATATTTTGGATCAAATGGTTTAAACAGTTGTCCAACAACTCTGCCGAACCTTGAGATTATTTAGCAATTTTGGTTGCCATAGAATCTCAGCGTTTTGTACATCTTGCTTAGGCAGGTTGATCAATAGGATTTAACGTTTGTTGGATTATGGAAGTTCTACTAAATCCTGTATGATTTGCACTGCTAGTCTTACTTTAACCGAAATAGAAGGGGGCGAAAGAGTTATACGACGAGTTCTAGTAAAACCACAGCTTTGTGCTCCGATTATATAGACTGGTAGATACACTGTAACAACACACTTGGCTACTTAAGGAATTAACTTCCCTGCTGAACATTTCAGCAGGAATTCCTGCTTACATCAATTTCTGGGTGGACACATGTCCAAGTTTTGATTAAAAAAATCAAAACTTGACACGTGTCTATTCGGAATTGAGTGTAAGCATGACCTCCTGCTGAAATTTCAGCAGCAAGTCTTGTTCGCTACTTAATGCAAATATTCTACTAATCCCGTCATTTTTTTTTCTAAAGTTTGATCTCTTTCCACCTTGATTCCATGTAGTTACTCGAATTCTCTGGTGCGGCATATACACCACATTTGAAATACAGGTCCTCTGGTCCTTGATCCTTCACCCCAAACTTCTTGACACCATCGATGAAAACTATAATCTTCCATTTGTCAACGTTGTGGATTAAGTTTACCCCAAACCACTTGTCGTAGAGATGCGTAACTACGACTTTGTATTTCTAGTATTTGATATCTCCCCCACCCATCCTCTTAATAATAATAAGATGCGTTCTAATTTTCCAGTATTTGATATCTCCCCCACCCATCCCCTTAATAATAATAATAATAGTAATAATAATAAGTTTTTAATAAACATAGACCATGTGTGCCAAATCCGTCTTCCTCTGCTTGATGATCTCACTAATAATAATAATAATAATAATAATAATTTTTTAATAAACATAGACTATGCCAAGTCCGTCTTCCTCTGCTTGATGATCTCACTACTCATTATTCAATAAGGGGAGTTGACTTCTATTTATGGAAAATATACAAAATAATACAATATGATTTGATCAATAGCGTAGATGGTGCTTATAATCATGTCTGTACACACTAGTACGACTTCGAAGAAATGCAGGAAGGAGGAATTTATAAAGACAAGGTTTACTTGCTGTTCGCTGCAAAAAAGGGCATTCAAAGGACAATTTTCCCAAGTTTTTCACCGCCGTTTTTACCGTTTGCTACAAAAAACAAATTTTTTAGACCTGAAATTTGAATTTTTTAGACCTTGTGTTTGGTTGTATCTAACGAGCCCTAATTCCAAACTTATGGTTTAGATATATAAAAACGATATCTCGGGTACTTCATTGCTAGCCATTATGCTCCCCACTTTCAAGCAAAGCAAAGCAAAAAATTCTAATTGAGTTGAGTTTTGATCATGCAGAGTAGTTAGACATCTGAATTACCAATCTTTATTATTATTGCAACAAACAAACGGATTACACTAAAAGCTAGTGAATCATACACTTGTAGATGACTTATCCAAACACAAAGATAAGACATGAGTTTATTATTATTGCTATAAACATATAGATTATAGCGAATTTCAAAACCCAAAAATAACGAAAAAAGTAGTGATAAAAACCAATGCCACTTTCGCAAAGAACACAATTGCATTCGCACATGCAACAAGCCTTTTAAACCCATAGGTGACCCAAATGGGACGAGTGAAGTCTCGTGAGGGTTTCCAGAGACGTTACCCACAAACATCATGCATAGTGATCATCAACATTTGACTTGGGAGACTGAGTAGATATCCACCCCTCCAGCATCAGGTGTTTTTTGGTTGAGGCGTAATTCGAATCTGTTTTCAATGAATGGCCTGGTTAAGAGGTCGCTTTGCAAGTGACGTAATCGGCAGCGCGTGATTAGGTTGTTGCCGTCAGGTGGTCCGACAGGCTCGACCTTGAACAATGTGCAAGCCCAATTGTCCTTGGTTTCGTTTCGGTCAGCAGCTGCGGCCAGGACCAATAGCCTGTTTTGGTCCACCCTTCTCAAGTAATTGCCGTTGTAGGAGCATTTGATATGCACGTAATTCTTGTCGGCGTAGTCCTCATTGTTTGGCTTCTCGGTGGTGAACTTTATGAACCTGCTGTTTTCATTGTCCTCGGAAAACTGGACAATCTCATTAAGGTCGCTTTCTGCATCAAGTTGATAGCGCAAATACTTGTTGTTGGTATCTGCTTTTAGCATAAAGGGGCTTGGTAGTACGGGTGGAGCCATGTTGTATAGTGTAGTTGGGATTGGGATGATCTCTCTTTTTTTCTTCTCTCTTGATGGTTTAATTTGCTTTCTGTGAATGTGTTGCTCCGTTCAAACCTGCAATCCTATTTATAAGAAATTAAGCACATGCTAGCTCAAGTTATGGTCTTTAATTAATATTAATTTCTTCAATCAGTTTCCCATCTCTTTCATTGATATGAACATGGCTGATCTCATTGGTGTGACGCAAGATTTGTTAAAATAGCTGATCGGATTGATTTATTTGTGTAACTCTTCTGCCAATTCTGAAACTTGTACATATAATTCCCATTATAAAATAAATAAACAAAATCCAAAACTTATATAAAATAAATAGAGACTTTTTATAGCATATATATAAAATAAGACTTTCTAACTTATTCAAGATTATAGTCACAAGATCGAATATACATTGATGGGTGCGCATTTTCCTTCATCATCTTTTCTGTGCTATTAATTTGTGCGATTGTCAACTTTCATAAATTACAATGGCTACAGGTAAAATGTCACTCTAGTTATGATAAATAGTAAAAGCATATGGCAAAATCTGTGCGGTCATTTTTGATCAAGCAAATTGTTGTAGGTCCAATGATGGGGCATATGACAAAAACTTATTTCTTGTTTAAAACAAAGCATAAATTTTCAATTTTGTTATAACATTTCAGAACTATCAAAGGTTAACTCAATGGTTGTAAGCACCAAAGAGAAAAATGGTTAAGTGAATGTTATTACAATTAAATAAAACTGCTTGCATAGTATTTTACGAATAAGAAATTTTATAGAATATAGAATAAGTATTTTTTTTATAAAAAAAATTGGGATGGTATATTACACTAAAATATTTGTTATAGACTTTAGATATGATCATAGAAAAAGACTTTGTAAAATGTCAAAAAAATTTATACCATGTGGAAAGACTAATCGCCAGATAATTAAAAGTTTTGCAACATGTAATTGACTTGGTTTCATAAGACCTATGTACATCTAGATGACTTGGTTGTTATGATTAATGTAAGACTTTCAGTTGATATTTCTTGAGGGTGAAACACCGTTTGAGAAATGTTTTGGGCCTCATTACAATTTTTTTCACTTATTTTTTATGTTTCAGCTTAAATATTCTACTATAAATACATTTGTGGCTTAACAATTGGTAAAACCACTTCCAAATGTATTTTAAAGATTTTCTTAATGTCACGGAAAATATTTTACGAAAATCAAAGATTTGCATTTCCACAAAAAATGTGGGTTAACTCACGATTTTTTGTTGGTTTTGTAAATTCTTATAAATATCTTCATTAAATCTATTTGTTTTCACAAGGTACTTAAAATTAATGTAACTTTCTGTCGATATTCTTGAGTATAGACCCTTGTTAAGGCAAAGATTTGGGCCTCACTATAATTTTTTTTTCATTTATGTCTTAGGTTTCGGCTTTCACAAAGCACATGGCTGTAGATGTGAAGTTTTGATTAAAAATATTTGTAACATGACAGCATATGGCTATAGGCATGGAGTATTTGTTAACAATTAAAAGTTTTGTAACAAATAATTGACTTGGTTTTATAAGACCTACATCTAGACGACTTGGTTTTTAAAACAAATATAAGACGTTTTAAGTGGAAACTATTAAAGGTGATTTGGGTGAGTTACTTAATGATAAAATTGCTTTGGCAATTCTTGTACTTGAAAAGGTATTCTTGAAGGGACTTAAAAACTTTTGCATGAGGGGCTACTATGGTGAATTGGAAACGATAAATTTTTTGACGGACAAATGAACTAAAATATGGTATTTTGCTTCATCATGCTGCTTGCCCGCTCTTTGACGATATGGTTAAGGCTATTGTAGCTAATTATTGTTACCACAATGGTTTGGATCCACTATTACTTGTTTTACTAAAGGAGGTGGTTGAACAAATTCTTAGCATTCCTATTGGTTTTGATGCTTTGGCTGCTAAGTGTATCTGGACTAGAATAAATGATGGTAATTTTTCTGTTAAATCTGCTTATATGTTGGCCATTAATTCTAGTGGTTTTCCTAATTGGCGATGGAATCTAATTTGGAAACTTCATATTCCTACAAAGTTAAGACTTTCTTATAGCTGGTCTCTCTTGATAAGATTCTCACTAATGAACAGAAGCTAAGGTCTTACATTAATTTTAGAAATATAGTGGTGAGGCAATGGTGAAAACTAATTGATTTAATGATGATTTTTGTACAAAATTTCAAAACTGACTAAAAACAGTGAGCATCTACGTTTTGTGAGAAATGCAAATATTTAATCTTCCCAAAATATTCTTCGTTAGCATTAAGAGAATATTCATAAAGCATTTGGAAAGGTTTCTATCAATTATTGAGCCACAAATTTAGTTTGAATGGTATATTTAAAACCTAAAATTAAATGAAAAAAATTAATTGTAGAGAGCCCCAAATATTTGCCTTAGCGAGGGTCTATACTCAAGAATATCAACGGAAAACTATACATTAATTTTAAGTACCTCACGATAAGGCGAATGTGAAAACAAATGGATTTAATGATGATTTTCATACGAATTTGCAAAATCAATGAAAAACCGTGAGTGTTAACCCTTATTTTTTGTGAAAAATACAAATGTTTCATTTTCATAAAATAGTTTCCATGACATTAAGAAACTGTTTACAAAACGTTTGGAAATGGTTTTACTAATTATTGAGCCACAGATGTACTTATATTAGTATATTTAAGCCGAAACCTAAAAAATAAGTGAAAAAAAATTGTAATGAGGTCCAAGACGTTTCTCAAACAATGTTTCACCCTCAAAAAACATCAACAGAAAATCTTATATTTGTTTTAAAAACCAAGTCATCTATATGTAGGTCTAATAAAACCAAGTCAATTACTTGTTACAAAACTTTTAATTGTTAACAAAGACACCACGCCTACAACCATGTGCTTTGTGAAAGCCAAAATCTAAAACATAAAAGAAAAATATTGTAGTGAGGCCCAAATCTTTGCCTTAACAAGGGTCTATACCTGGGCATATCAATGGAAAGTTATACATTAATTTTATGTACCTCACGGTAAGGTGAATGTGAAAACAAATGGACTTAAGGAAGATTTTTATAAAAATTTACAAAACCGACAAAGAACTATGAGTTAGCTTGCGTTTTTTTTGTGAAAAACAAATGCAAATCTTTCAGTTTCGTAAAATATTTTTTCATGACCTTAAGAAAATCATTATAATACATATGGAAGGAGTTTTACCAGTTATTAAGCTAAATGTATTTATAGTAGAATATTTAAGTCAAAACCTAAAAAATAAGTTAAAAAGTTATAATGAGACCCAAAATGGTTCTCAAAAGGTGTTTCACCCTCAAGAAATATCAACATAAACTCTTACATTAGTCTTTAACAACTAAGTCATCTAAATGTAGGTCTTATGAAACCAAGTGATCATTTACGTGTTGCAAAACATTTAATTACCTGGCGACTACAAAAACTTTCCACATGGTATAAGTCTTTTTCTATGATCATATCCAAAGTCTACCACTAATATTTTCGTGTAATATAACATCCCAAATTTTTTTATTAAAAAAATACTTATTCTATATTCTATAGAATTTCTTATTCGTAAAATAGTATGCAAGCAGTTTTATTTAATTCTAGTAACATTCACTTAACCATTTTTCTCTTTGGTGCTTAGAACCATTGAGTTATAACCTTTGATAGTTCTGAAATGTGATAACAAAATTGAAAATTTATGCATCGTTTTAAAAAAGATAGAAGTTTTTGTCATATGCCCCATCATAATAGAAACTCACATGCTACAAAACAAAATTCATAGCGACTCTACATCGACAAATATATATTTATTTGATGAAAATGCTTTTACTATTTATCATAACCACAGTGACATTATCTATTCTAAAACTAAGGAGAGATTTACTGTTCATTGGGCTACAGTCAAATATTTGCCCCTCGATTTCATCTTATTTACAAAAAAACCATGAACATTGGGCTGGGTTTGAAGGATATTATTTGAACTGATAAGGGTGATTTTGTCCGGAGGGTTTAGGACGAATTACCCCTTCATTTCATCTTATTTGCAAGAAACCCATTATTTGTAGACTAGGTTGGAAGGGCAATTTTGTCCTCTGGGTTTTGAGTCAATTAAAGGGTTTGCCGTGTAAGGGTCGCACTTACTGTCTTTCATTTATGGTTTCGGGGAAATGAAGCTCTCACAGAGAGCGGAAGAAACGGAGAGACAGACAGAGAGACAGACAGAGAGAGAAAGAGAGAGAGAGAGACAGAGAGAGAGAGAGATTTCGAGGGGAAGACAGCGCAGGGAGAGGTATGGCTGATGGATTTCAGAAGTGGGAAAGTGGGTGATATCTTCTCGGTTTTGACTGAGTTCGAGGGTTGTTGTGTGCTGTCCTTCGATGAGGGTTTCGGGGGGATGGAGACTGTGACAGAGAGCGGAAGAAAGAGAGAGAGAGAGAGATAGAGAGAGAGAGAGATGACGATGGAAGGAGAGCGAAGGGGAAAGGTATGAGTCGTCGATTTCAGAAGTGGGGATACGGATTATCCGGATCTACCGCTGCATGCCTGGATTTCGAAAGATAAGTGCTTTAAAATTTTTTTTTTTTCTATCAGCTTAGATCTGCCTGTTTGTTGTGGATTATTTTCGAATTTTTTAGTGTATTAGGTCAGATTTTGGGGGAATCATCAGAGATATTTATTTCCCTTATAAGTTTTCTTTTCTCTCATTTTGCACATTGATCTCTCTGTCTGCGCATTTGTTCACAGAGAGCGGAAGAAACCGAGAGACAGAGAGACAGACAGAGAGAGAAAGAGAGACAGAGAGAGGCAGAGAGAGAGAGATGTCGACGGGAAGACAGCAGGGAGAGGTATGGCTGTTGTCTGCAGTTTCATTTGCTGTCCTTCAAGGAGGGTTTCGGGGGGATGGACTGTGACAGAGAGCGGAGAAATTAAGCTCTCACAGAGAGCGGAAGAAACGGAGAGACAGAGAGACAGACAGAGAGAGAAAGAGAGAGAGAGAGACAGAGAGAGAGAGATGCCGAGGGGAAGACAGCAGGGAGAGGTATGGCTGTTGTCTGCAGTTTCATTTGCTGTCCTTCAAGGAGGGTTTGGGGGGATGGACTGTGACAGAGAGCGGAAGAGAGAGAGAGAGAGAGAGAGAGAGAGAGAGAGAGACAGAGATGACGATGGAAAGAGAACGAAGATGAAAGGGGAAGCTACATGCCTGAATTTCGAAAGCTAAGTGCTTTTAAATTTTTTTTTTTTCCTATCAGCTTAGATCTGGTTTTTTGTTGTGGATTATTTTCGAATTTTTTAGTGTGTTAGGTCAGATTTTAGTGGAATCATCAGAGATATTTATTTCCCTTATTAGTTTTCTTTTCTCTCATTTTGCACATTGATCTCTCTGTCTGCCTGTTTGTTCTCTCACAATTCCCTGCTTCTGTCGCTCTTGAACCTCGATTCCTTTCGCTCTCCAAGGCTACCTTCTCTCCCTCTTCCACCGTGCGATCTTTGTCTCACAAGTTACCAACCGCACTTTCTTGCTAAAAAACCTTCACTGCTTTCTCTGTTGCTAGAGGTTGCTTTCTCTTCTGCTCTCGCAGGGCCTTCAGTTCTCACTTAGATTCCAGAGTAGAAGCCCAGAAAGCTAATATGGCAAAGCGAGAGCTTTCCAGCACTCTCAGGAACTTAAAAGGTGAAAAGAAACGATAAAATTTTGGTTTTTTATTTATTGTGAGTGTTAATTTCTGATTAAATTATTATTTTTGATAAACCCTTTTAGAATCTGATCTAGGTTTTGCTTAAATTCATCTTGGTGTTGTTTAATTTTGAGTTATATAATTTTCTGGTGGACCTTTAATTGTATTTACAGATTAATACAACGTAATTGGGTTATTTTTTTAATTACTGTAGTTTATGCAAAGAGCAACTTAGAAAGAGGTGAAGAAAGAAGAAGATGTCAAACCATACCTTATCACCTCAGGTACCTTTTAGACCTATTGCATGTCAAAATCAGCTTCAAATTTGTGATTTAATATAATTGAATTTTAACAAGTTTTTAGTGATTTTGTAGAATTTTACGTTTAATAACCAAGTGGATTACTTTACTTGGTTGGACCTGTTTTTATAGCTATATTTCAACCTTTCCTCTGATAGCTTTTAACGATTGGATTTCTCGAGTCTACTTTCCATGCTTTGACCATTTCATTTGGCTGAGGGTTCTGGGTTTTGGAGAATTCTTCATTAAATTGGTGGGTTTGTAGAATTGTACCCTTATATTTCTGGGTTTGGTTTTATGTCAGTTTAATAAATTTTTTTAGGTTTTGCAGAATTTTTTGTGATTAAATTTCTGGCTTAAGTAGCGGTTTTTGAGGTTGTGGTCTCCAAAAAAAGGTAATTTTTACATTAATTCTGTGAAAATTTGTACATATCAATGTGTTAGAATATTTAAGGGAATTTAAAATAAAATATGGTATTGGTATTGGTGGGGACGATGTATGGGAATTTTTCAAGGATTATTGGAATCTCATGGTAAGGAGTGATGTAGAAACTTATAGCTGCAGCAGTTGATGCAGGTTTCCTTTCTATGAACCTGATTTTGGATGGGGAAAGCCACCATGGGTGACTTCAGGTACGGAGTTCAAGAATCTGATTGTGTTAATGGATACACGAGATGGAGATGGCATAGAAGTATCCTTGAATCTCAAGGAAGAAGACCTGGCCATATTTGAAAGCACTAAGGAGCTGCTTGAGTATGCATCTTTAAATCCAACTGTAATTTTGTTTAGTATTGTTGAACCTTTTATGATCTTTCATTGTTTTGTTTCTTGCTTCTGTTTTTCTTAGGTGTGTACTAAATTGGATGTTGGTTTGGTTGTTTCCAATCTTTCCCCACGACTTTCGATACCCAATAGAGAATATGAAAAACCCAACTTTAATTTTGTAAATTTATTGTCCTAAATGAAGGTAACATGGGAATTTGTTCTGAATGGTGTTCAAAGAACTTCAAACTCAACTTTGTCCTGAATGATGATCTGTTCTCTGGATGTCTGATATCAATTTTTTATCTGCTCAGAGTGATCTGATTTACATCTTTTGCTAGGGTGCTAATGTGCCTCCACCATTCAATTCATTTGAATCTACTGGTCTCCCATATGAGATTCAGAGGTATGGAATTATTCTTCTGTTTTTGTCTCTTTTGTGTAATCCTGGTAAAGTTACCTGAGTGTTTTGTGCAAAGTTATGTGATTGCTAGAGGTCCAATGTTGAGTTCCTCTTAACAATTGAGCCCTTTTTGTCACTATTCATATTGCAGGTTTTGAGCTTCCACAAATTTCAAGGCGTTCAAACTTTACTCTCGAATGAAATGGTAATTAAATTTCTTAAAATTATAGTTTATTACTATAAAAGATAAAGACTTATTTTCTCAGCATTGTAATCTATGTTTGTTTACACGTTATCCAACTTGCTTCTACAAAATCAAAATACTTATATCCACCTACAAAATTCTGTTGAAGAAGTGAGATTTTTAAACTGCAGTTTTTCTTTAATTATTCACAAATGTATGTACAAGTTAACGAAAAAACATGTATGCTTTTTTGGTGAATTTAATTTGAATTGTTAAATTTTGGTAACAAAAAAACCTATGATAAATTAAAAGACTATCATTAAATAAGATTTTCTGCTCAGTGTACCTCTATATAGTTCTATTTGAACTCACATTTTTTTTTAATTTAAATTTTATTTCTCTGCATAGTCCGGAAAAATTCTGCTTTCCTAATCATTTCACACAATTTTGTTTAGTTTTAAAAGTTTTGCTATAATTTTCTCTGATGAAAGGACATTCTGTGACAAAAACCAGGATCAATTTGTTTGCAGCTTGAAGATTTTTACTTTCACCAAGTTTATCTTCAACTCCAGGTATTTTCTCCCATTGACAACTTAAAATCAACTGAACTGCACCTCTATACTTGCATAACTCTGTTTTTCTCTCCTCCTTAAATTCATATATGGAGATAGGAAGTTTAAGAATCTTTGTTCCTGCTAATAGGTTTAATAATAGTGACATTTGAATGATCTTTGTTTCCAGGAAAATGATTTTAAAGAATTGTAGCTGTGATTCAGAAAATAGTTAGATTTTTTAAAGCTGACACAGGTTTTTATGAATATCAGGCTTTGAAATACAATGTTGTTCTAGGCTGTCATCTAGATTCCCAATCACATGTTTCCACGGCGGTTTCAAAGAGGTCCTTGAGACGATCAGATGCTGTACTCAGCAGCCACCATTATAATAAGGTTAGGTGTTGAGGTTTTTCCTTAACTTATTTTTCTCTTGGAATATGAAACCCTATGTTTTTCCTGCATGTTGGTACATGTAAATAACACAATGGTTCATAATCTTTTATTTAGAGTTTAATAAATATGATAAAAGTGGATCATAATTTTTACAATAACCTAACATGGCTATTTTTGAAGGTAAGACCGAGCGTCATTCTCTTGGTCACTAGATGCCTTGAGAATTTATAGTCACTCACCCAACTTGGGATTTGAGTAATCATGAATAACTCGATTTTGTGTTACTATGTGATGCGGTGGTGAGAGGACTTTGGTATGGGAGGGAGGACTAGAGAGAGATGTTTAGATTTGAGAAGGGTAATTGGTATTGAAAATTGAGATGCCTATATACCATGGCAGGGTCGGTTCCAGCTTTTTCTTTTCCTTGGTATGCATTATTTGTCCCTTTCTTTTAATTTGTTAGTTTAATTTATTCCTGCAATTTTGTATGAACTATATGTGTGTAGTGATAGATTGTAAGGTGATTGAGATTTGTGCAGGTAATTACTATAAATACAAATGGATGGTGCATACAAATTACTATAACTTCAAGAAAAAACAAAACAGACCCAGATACCAATTCACTTCAGTCCTCAAACATCTCGATCCATTCCAGCTTTTTCTCTTCCTTGGTATGCATTATTCCTCCCTCTCTTCTCTTAATTTTTTCTTTTTGTTTAATTATTTCTGGAATGTTGGAACCTGAATTTCCAGAATTATTGTGATTTTGGAACCCTAATTTGGGATGCATGTAAATGAAAAGTCTTATATATTTGGTCTTTGCTTACAACCTCTCTCTGCTCTTTTTCTCTCTCTCTCCAAAACTCAATTTTGAAGTTGTCATGCATTTTTTATTTTTATTATCACTGTCACCTTTTGATTTGCCTTATGGTTTTATCATCGTACATCATTAGTTGACTACTGTCTTTGTTTTCTTCTGCAGCATGGAGAGCTGTACAAGGCACTTTCTGCAATTTATTGCAAAATAATGTCAGTTATCCCTTCTTTGGATACAACTCAAACTGGGAGCAAGTCTGGTATCCAAGCTTTACGTTCGTTGCATGTAGCACATGAAAAGTCTAAGAATGTAGTAAGCTTTATTTGGCAGGTATTCCCTCAATAGTTAAGGAAACAATTATTTTCCCCTTTCTGCTTTGAAGGAATAGAATTCTCTTTAGATGTTTAAATTTGTTTCATTCATGATGAGGTTGTGTATAAATTGCATTTGCATTTGTAACTCAGTTTTTGACTCGAACATTGTTTATAAAGATTGCAGGTGCATAATTTTTCATATAATTTTCAATCCCGCAGCAACGCGCGGGTGCAAATTCTAGTTTTACCTATAACCATTGTACTTTATGAAAATTGACAGTTGCTCAAATTAAGAAAAGATGTTCGTGGAAAATGCGCACCCATCAATGTATTCGATCTTGTAACTATAATCTTGTACAAATTAGAAAGTCTTATTTTATGTGCTATAAAAATTCTTTATTTATTGCCTATGAGTTTTGAATTTTATATATTATTTTATAATGGGAATCACATGTTTCAGAATTGGCAGAAGAGTCATACAAAGAAATCAATCCGATCAGCTATTTTAACAAATCTTTCGTCACACCAATGAGATCAGCCATGTTCATATCAATGAAAGAGACGGGAAACTGAGTGAGGAAATTAATATTAATTAAAGGCCATAACTTGAGCTAGCTTGTGCTTAATTTCTTATAAATAGGATAGCAGGTTTGAACTGAGCAACACATTCACAACAAGCAAATTAAATCATCAAGAGAGAAGAAAAAAGAGAGATCATCCCAATCCCAACGACACTATACATCATGGCTCCACCTGTACTACCAAGCCCCTTTCTTCTGAAAGCAGATATCAACAACAAATACTTGCGCTATCAACTTGATGCAGAAAGCGACCTCAATGAGATTGTCCAGTTTTCTGAGGACAATGAAAACAGCCGGTTCATAAAGTTCACCACCGAGAAGCCAAACAATGAGGACTACGCCGACAAGAATTACGTGCATATCAAATGCTCCTACAACGGCAACTACTTGAGAAGGGTGGACCAAAACAGGCTATTGGTCCTGGCCGCGGCTACTGACCGAAACGAAACCAAAGACAATTGGGCTTGCACATTGTTCAAAGTCGAGCCTGTCGGACCACCTGACAACAACAACCTAATCACGCGCTGCCGATTACGCCACTTGCAAAGCGACCTCTTAACCAGGCCGTTCATTGAGAACAGATTCGAATTACGCCTCAGCCAAAAAACACCTGACGCTGGAGGGGTGGATATCTACTCCGTCTCCCAAGTTAAATGTTGATGATCACTATGCATGATGTTTGTGGGTAACGTCTCTGGAAACCCTCACGAGACTTCACTCGTCCCATTTGGGTCACCTATGGGTTTAAAAGGCTTGTTGCATGCGCTAATGCAATCGTGTTCCCCGCGAAAGTGGCATTGATTTTCATCACTACTTTTTTCCTTGTTTTTGGTTTTTGAATTTCCTGTAATCCATGTGTTTATAGAAATAATAATAAACTCATGTCTTATCTTTGCGTTTGGATAAGTTGTTTGCAAGTGTATGATTCACTAGCTTTTAGTGTAATCCGTGTGTTTGGTGCAATAATAATAAAGATTGATAATTCAGATGTCTAACTACTTTGCATGTTCAAAACTCAAGTCAAAGAAAGTCCTTGCAAGATTGGATGGTATACAGTTTACGGCATGCAGACAAGGAAATTACCGGTTAGCATTAGTGATCAACTTGACAGGTTAAATAAAAATTTTGTCTATTGCTCCACTCAATCTAAAAATAAAATTACTTAGTTAAATGGACCCAAGTTTGTCTTCTGAAGTCTCTCGGTGCAGTTGGCTTGAAAAACATTAGAGTTTTGTATTTGGCTCTTCTTGTTAAGAACTTTTGGAGATTGATGCAGGGAGAAACTGGTCTTTGGGCAAAAGTTTTAAGTGGAAACTATTAAAGGTGATATGGGTGAGTTACTAAATGATAAAATTGCTTTAGACTATTCTTATACTTGAAAAGGTATTTTTGAAGGGACTAAAAAACTTTTGCATGAGGAGCTACTATGGCGACTTGGAAACGATAAATTTTTTGACGGACAAATGAACTAAATGTGGTATTTTGCTTCATCATGCTACTTGCCCGCTCTCCAACGATATGCTTAAGGCTACTGTAGCTAATTATTGTTACAACAATGGTTTGGATCCACTATTACTTGTTTTACTAAAGGTGGTGGTTGAACAAATGCTTAGCATTCCGATTGCTTTTGATGATTTGGCTGCTAAGTGTATATGGACAGGAATAATTGATGGTAATTTTTCTGTTAAATATGCTTATATGTTGGTCATTAATTCTAGTGGTTTTCCTAATTGGCGATGGAATCTCAATTGGAAACTTCATATTCGTCCAAAGTTATGAGTTTCGTATGGTTGCTCTCTCTTGATAAGATTCTCACTAATGAACAAAAGTTGAAAGTCTTACATTAATTTTAGAAATATAATGGGAAGGCAAAGGTGAAAACTAATTGATTTAATGATGATTTTGTACAAAATTTCAAAACCGACTAAAAACAGTGAGCACCCACGTTTTTGTGAGAAATGCAAATATTTTATCTTCCCAAAAAAATTTTCGTTAGCATGAAGAGAATATTTATAAAGCATTTGAAAAGAGTCACAAGTTTAGTTTGAACGGTACATTCAAACCGAAACATTAAATTAAATGAAAAAAAATTAATCGTAGGGAGCCCAAATATTTGCCTTAGCGAGGGTCTATATACTCAAGAATATCGATGGAAAGCTATACATTAATTTTAAGTACCTCACGATATAGGGAATGTGAAAACAAATGGACTTAATGATGATTGTCATAGGAATTTGCAAAATTAATAAAAAAATTATGAGTGTTAACCCTTATTTTTTTTGGAAAATACAAATGTTTCATTTTTATAAAATATTTTCCATGACATTAAGAAACTGTTTACAAGATGTTTGGAAATGATTTTATCATTTACTGAGCGACAAATGTACCTATAGTAGTATATTTAAGCCGAAACCTAAAAAATAAATGATTTTTTTTTATGATGTCCAAGACGTTTCTCAAACGGTGTTTCACCCTTAAAAAATATCAATAGAAAGTCTTATATTTGTTTTAAAAACCAAGTAATCTAGACGTCGGTCTTATAAAACCAAGTCAATTACTTGTTACAAAACTTTTAGGGTTGTGATTTTCACACACCCTTAACTACTTTTCCCACACCCCTTCCTATTTTTTAATACTTAATTGGTATTCTACTATTTAATCTTCCATATATACCCTTCCTACCTTTTGATGGTAATTAATGAAAGATTAAATAGGGAGGGGTATATATGGAAGATCAAATAGTAGCATACCAATTAAGTATTAAAAAATATGAAGGGGTGTGGGAAAAGTAGTTCAGGGTGTGTGAAAATCACAACCCTTACAATTGTTAACAAAGACTCCACGCTTACAGTCGTGTGCTTTGTGAAAGCCGAAACCTAAAACATAAATGAAAAATATTGTGGTGAGGCCCAAATCTTTGCCTTAACAAGGGTCTATACTCAGGAATATTGATGGAAAGTTATACATTAATATTATGTACCAAATGGTAAGGCGAATGTGAAAATAAATAGACTTACTGAAGGTTTTTATACAAATTTACAAAACAGACAAAGAACCGTGAGTTAACTCACGTTTTTTGTGAAAAAAAAAAATGCAAATCTTTCAGTTTCGTAAAATATTTTTTCTCAACATTAAGAAAATCATTATAATACATAAGGAAGTGGTTTTACCAGTTATTAAGCCACAAATGTATTTATAGTAGAATATTTAAGCCGAAACCTAACAAATTAGTGAAAAAGTTGTAATGAGGCTCAAAACGTTTCTCAAAAGCTGTTTTACCCTCAAGAGATATCAACAGAAAGTCTTACATTAGTCATTAACAACCAAGTCATCTAAATGACGGTCTTATGAAACCAAGTGTTCATTTACGTGTTACAAAACTTTTAATTGCCCGGCGACTACAAAAATATTTCCACATGGTATAAGTCTTTTTCTATGATCATATCCAAAGTCTACCACTAATACTTTAGTACGTAGTATAACATCCCAATTTTTTAATTAAAAAAATACTTATTCTATATTCTATAAACTTTCTTATTCGTAAAATAGTATGCAAGCAGTTTTATTTAATTCTAGTAACATTCACTTATCCATTTTTTTCTTTGGTGCTTACAATCATTGAGTTATAACCTTTGATAGTTCTGATATGTGATAACAATATTGAAAATTTATGCATTGTTTTAAACAAGATAGAAGTTTTTGTCATATGCACCATCATAATAGAAACTCACATGCTACAAAAAAAAAATTTCATAGCAACTCTACACCGACAAATATATATTTGCTTGATGAAAATGATCGCACTAACTTTGCGATATGCTTTTACTATCTATCATAACGTTTTACCTGTAGCCATTGTACGCTATGAAAGTTGACAGTCGCTCAAATTAAGAAAAGATGTTCGTGGAAAATGCGCACCCATCAATGTATTCGATCTTGTAACTATAATCTTGTACAAGTTAGAAAGTCTTATTTTATTTACTATAAAAAGTCTTTTTCTATGATCATATCCAAAGTCTACCACTAATATTTTAGTGTAATACCACAGCCCAATTTTTTTATTAAAAAAATACTTATTCTATGTTCTTTAAAATTTCTTATTCGTAAAATAGTATGCAAGCAGTTTTATTTAATTCTAGTAACATTCACTTAACCATTTTTTATCTTTGGTGCTTCCAACCATTGAGTTAACCTTTGATAGTTTTGAAATGTGATAACAAAATTGAAAATTTATGTGCTATAAAAAGTCTTTATTTATTTCATATGAGTTTTGGATTTTATATATTATTTTATAATGGGAATCACATATCAATGTTTCAGAATTGGCAGAAGAGTCATACAAAAAAATCAATCCGATCAGCTATTTTAACAAATCTCGCGTCACACCAATGAGATCAGCCACATTCATATCAGTGAAAGAGACGGGAAACTGAGTGAGGAAATTAATATTAATTAAAGACCATAACTTGAGCTAGCTTGTGCTTAATTTCTTATAAATAGGATAGCAGGTTTGAACTGAGCAACACATTCACAGCAAGCAAATTAAATCATCAAGAGAGAAGAAAAAAGAGAGATCATCCCAATCCCAACTACACTATACATCATGGCTCCACCTGTACTACCAAGCCCCTTTCTGCTGAAAGCAGATATCAACAACAAATACTTGCGATATCAACTTGATGCAGAAAGCGACCTCAATGAGATTGTCCAGTTTTCCGAGGACAATGAAAACAGCCGGTTCATAAAGTTCACCACCGAGAAGCCAAACAATGAGGACTACGCTGACAAGAATTACGTGCATATCAAATGCTCCTACAACGGCAACTACTTGAGAAGGGTGGACCAAAACAGGCTATTGGTCCTGGCCGCGGCTACTGACCGAAACGAAACCAAAGACAATTGGGCTTGCACTGAAGGAAAATTTGTGAAAAACATGTTCATTTAAGCAACATCAATAGCATGCAATTAACAATTAAAGGCGGAATCATGCTTGTATGCACTTAAAACAAAACATTTACCCATGAAATTCAAAGCCTAGTAGATAGGTGAATCAAGACTCAACTCAAAATAAAGTGAGTTGAGAAATCAATACCTTTGTAGATTCCTCTTTGCATAAGCAAAGGCTAATCACCCAAAGAGAGGGTCTTCATTCCTTGCATCTTGGATCCATGGATTTGGATGGATGAAAAGGTTTCTCCAAGTTCCCAAAATTGAGAACCTCTAAGTCTCCACACCAAGGTATATTGAAGAAGAAATGAGTGACCTAGAGGAAGAAAGATTGCTAGATTTTCCCCTCTAGATTGGCCAAAATTTTTGAGAGAAAGGAGAGCTTGTGTTCTCATCCTTTCCCCAAAAATAACCCTTAGTAAATTTTAGGCTATAAAGTCCTTTATATAGTCTCTTCAAATAAGTGACCTAATGGACCAAAAGCCCTATTCTTTTACACATGGCTAGCCTATAGGTTTATTGGGCTTCCAAGCCCTTTGTTTTATTCAAGTTGTCATACAACTTGAGTTAATGGACTTGACATTCAAATCCCATTGGGCCTTGCGGCCCAAAACTAACCCGAGGTCTTTAACGAACTTATTCGTTTGATTAATTAACATATTAATTAATCCTAGCCTTAGATAAATAATTAAACCATTTAATTATTCTTACTCATCTCCGTTGTTTCTTCAAACTCTACCTTACACGGTGTACGATCCATTAGGTTCCTTTTAGCGAGGCAGTGGGCGATTCAAACTCTTTCAAATCGATTGTGAATTGAAACTTACTTTCAATTCTCCCGTTAGTGATAATACACTTTTAGGGCTTCCACAAACCATGAGTGACACCTAGCAGCATATCATGGTTACCCAAGCTAATCAGAAGAGGTGGAGAACCTATTCAGTTTAGGATTACAAATG